ATATCATTGGCTGCCTCTCCAGAGGATAAAGCATTGCCTCGTGGAGTTTTTGAATATGGTGGTCGCCTATAACCCTTATTTCGAAGGCCACCTGTCAAGTTTCCAAAGTTCAATCCTACTTGCTTGCAAACTAGAATCTAAGAGGTTTCAATTCCTTACTTTCTTCCAGACTAGAATCATAAGAAGGTTTCAATTCTTACTTTCTTCCAGACTAGAATCATAAGAAGTTCAGTATCTTCAATGTCTTAGCCAACTTCGGAGGGAAAATACTGTTTTCAGCTTGGTGAGAATCAATATTCTTTTTATGACTACCTACACTAGGATCAGTCCTAACAAACTTAGATTTGTCTACCTCTTCTTCACTTTCTGATCCAGGGCCATAATCATCGAAAGTGGCAGGCAGGTCATCTCCATGTGAAGGAACTGCAGAGCCAGTTGAACCTTCAAAGAAAACAGGAGTAGACTGCTGCTCTGAGAAAATATGTGATTGTGAAATGGACTTTTCAGGTGACCCAACATTCTGCTCAACGCTCCAAGGATTTGTACTTGTAAATGGATGAGTAGGTGATCTTTGAACTGGAGACGAAAAGTTCATACTGTATTCATGTACCTTATGCTCTTCCTCCAAATCAAACTTACATTCATCAATATCTGATCCATAATCGTCAAAAACTGCGGAGGCATTGTCATGAGAATCTATTGTTTCTTTTGCGCTTCTTTGAAGGCTTCCCTTATCATTGAGAAGAAAGGAATCCTCGCCAGAATTATTTCCTAACTCCTGCTGATTTAAATTTGATACAACATCATGATCATCAGAAAAAGTACTCGAAAGAGAATGAGACGAAGAATAGCTTGATTGCTTCCTGATCCCTTCTTCCTGATAATCAGCAGAATCAGAATTCTTTGTTTCATGCAGTTCATTCACAAACGGCATCCTGCTTTCACCTGAGTTCTCAGGTCATTTCTGACTTCTGCCAATTTAAAATTAGAGACAAAGACATGATTCATCAGTATACGTGTTTGATTGAGAATGAGAAGAAGAATAGCTTGATTGTCCCCCAACCCTGACTTCATGATGATCAACATTCTGAGGATTCTTAATATCATGCAGTTCATTCACAAATTGCATCCCATTTTTCACCTGAGTTTCTTCATACTCATTTCAGCAAAACGCTTCATCTGCCTGCCTTCAGACGAGTTTCTTTGGGAATATGCATCAGCAATTTGATCATTTAGTGATGGTTTTTCATTGAAGGAAGCTGCAGTCGACTTATAGGAACTGTCATGGATTATCACTGCTCACTATGTTAATATAAAACATTTTCAGCTTCTCCTGGTCGGTTATGTGTTCACTGCTGTCAGTTTGCTCATAATTCTAGAATTTCTTTTCATAACGGGAAATATTAACTGGATGTTTAGCAAGATGTTCATTGTGAGATGCTGAGCCAGTATACTTTCGCGGTTCCTCTTCTCTCATACTATGAGCAGATGACATGTGTGATTCTGTTGAATACTGCTGGTGCTGGGAGATATTTCCACGGCTTGAAAGTTCAGCAGCAGCTCGGGCAGCCATACTCGCTTGCTCTGCAGATTCTGCTGCTGCCTGGGCAGCAGCAGTAGCATCCTTGAATTCCATATTCCAATGTTGCCTTGATGAAGATAAAGCACTCTCATTCCCAGGATATGAATTCCTGTATTGCATCCTGTGATTTTCAGTTCCTGTAAAACAGCGCACCCAAATATAAACTAATAATTAACAGACAATGAATAAGCTAAGTGAAAAATTAGGTAAAAAAAAAAGACCAAAAGAGTTTATAAATCCCCATGTTTGAACCTAAAAATTAACATACCGTGAGGTTTTGAATTTGGAGGACAAGTTCCAGAGGACATCGAATTATCGGCCACTACTATTTGAATAATTAAAATTCTTAGGGTGAGGAGATGATCTTAAGCTTTGGTCATAGAAGCTTGCGGACGCATTGTTTTTTTCAATATGTTTGGGATCTTCAACATTAGGAGGCCCCTTATCATAATTAGGAACTTGAACACTAGGTCTCTGCTCATAATGACTGGGTGAAGCATGGGCATTAGGAGGATCTGGCCAAAATTTTGGTGGCCTCTGCTTTTGGTCCATTTCTGCACAAGCAAATTCATATGGAAAGAACATAAGTTGTCGAGCAAATATTCAATCTTTGACAAGCAAATAACAACACAAAAGCACTTCCTAATAGAATATTTCTCTAAGGAGGATCCTAAGTGTGGTTATATATTGGCATATCAAACAAAAAAACCTATTTTGCACGTTTTACCAGCAAGTCCTCATAAATCTTTGATTCTTTTGCTCCAAATGATTCAGGATCCCACTTGATGTTGTGTTCTTCAGCAATTGCAGTCAAAATTTTTAGTTTGGTTGGACCATCAGGTGCATTCGCAGATAATTTCTCGACCAACTAAAGGAGAAAACGTAAGGATCAGTGAATAATAATACAATCATACTTTGAATTGGTCTAATATGCTGATTATTACATTTCAACTATTGTTTATTCAGGAGTAGATGTTCTGTACAAACTTACCATACGACCAACACCACAATTAGGTCGCAGTTCAAGAGCAGCAGAAGTAAATTCTTTTCCATATTTTGCTGTAAAATGTTTGGAGACATCTTTGAGTTCTGGTACCTCTTCGCACCTTGCAGATGCAAATATGACACTTGAAATTGCTTCCTTCAAGTCAATGGGGCAGTTTCTGAATTCAGATCAAACACACCCCAAAGTTATTAAAAACAATAGCAATTGACAAAATTTAATCTGGCTGAATGACCAAAAACACTTAATAAAATCATCCTCTCCACGAACAAGGCATAATACATTTATCCATCCAAGGATGTTTATCCGTCAATGCATTTAAGCACACATATCCAGCTTTTCAAAACCAGTGAAATAAACAGACAATCCAAACTCTAACGAAGGTGCCACTTTACTTAGTTTCTAACTAAAGTAGTTTTTGGCAGTTGGACTGAACGTCATTTCTGCCAAGGATTAAGGCAACTAAAGAGTTTTAAAGACAAGGTCTAATTGCTTTAACAATGAAGGCCTATTTTCCCATATTCATTCAAAGTCCAAACATTTGCAAACTCGATAAAAGTTTCCCTAATTCCATATGCATCTGTAGTAAAAGAGCGAATAAAATCGAAATTTGAAATACTAAAGAAAGTATTTTTACACACTTTTGAGACTCAATGATCGGCATACGTGCCACGATAAGTTCACAGTATATCCCGAGAAGATTATACGCTGCCACCGTCTTTTCTTCCCTAACCACATGTTCCACCTGAAAAAAGAAACCCAAAATCAATACCACAACAATTACAAACAAAATCATGATTATAAAACTTTTATCAAAATTCAGTACCCGAATTCTGGCCGTCTGATCTTGCCCTGACTCCAGTAATTGAGCCAATTCCCTCTTTAACTGCTTAACCTGTGCTTCCCTCTTGTTCTTCATAAGCTTTATTCGCGGTATCGCTAGCTTTAAAGCTGTCTTACTGCATCAAATCAAATTTTTAAAAAAATTCAAAACAAAAAAAAAGTCAAACTATCACTTCCTCTTCGATCCAAAAACCACACAAAATTCAATAATCAAAACAGGTGCTGAAATAAAATTAAGCAAAAATAATTTACCATTTGGCTGGCTTGAAGCTTCTGTGAAGCATTTTTTTTAAGCGTGTCTGATAATTGGATGATACGGTAATGGAAAGGATTAAAGGGTTTCTTTAAAAAAAAAAAAATTAGAAGGAGGCCGTGGTAAGTGAGATGTGCTTTTGATTTGCGCGATGATTGTTAACGGAAAATTGGGATCTTAGAGGAGAAGAAAGCTATATGAATCGATTGGAATTTCGCGGAAATTGAAATGTCGTTTTGTTTCTTCTTGCCCTTTTCTTCGTTCATTTAAAAAAAAAAAAAAAAAACGTGTGGTCAGTTTGCTTTCTAGTGCTTCTCAGTCAGGGAATGAATCTAAACTAACTCAGATTGGAGAATAGCGTAAGAAAACGTGTGACCAAATACTGGATTTACTATTTTGCCCCTAAAGAGGTAGTTTATTTCCATGCTTTTGTGGCGAGTTTCTTCTCCTTTTTCTCCCAAAACGGCTTTAATGTTTCGCCACGTTGACATTATTTTCTCTGCACTTTTTTCGAACTAAAACCAGCTCCTGAAAGCCTGATAAGTTTCAATTCAGCAGTAAGAAACAATCAAATTTACAATTACACATTTATATTTTTTATTTTTCATGCCCTTTAGAATAATCAAATAACCTTTTTTTTTTTAACAAATATCGATCCTTTCGATTCTTCATTCGTGCAAACGCCAAATCGAGAGCAATTGATGCTCTATTAAGCAAAGTCTAGCAGATAAAATGACGGAAATCTATTTATATAGTTCAAATTCCAAATCAAGATAAAGGAGCAGATTCATCCACAAATAAATTGAAGAATTAGTCTTAGATTGGAGACGACCACAGAATGGAATGGAAGCCTAGTGGAGATAAGAAAGAGGTCAATTTGCACCATTATCATCAATCTTGGTTGAAATAAATTTTGTGAATATCACGAGACAACAGCAAGGTTTATCAACCTAATGCCATTTCAACTATTAAAATTATTCAGGCTATCAATGTAACCACTGATTTCTCAGCTTCAAAATTTTCATGAAACAACAAAAATGTGCATCTAAAGTGTGGCCGCAATTCAATCATGCAAATGATGATAAAAGCATACACATCCAACTCCCTGAAAGACCTTCCACTGGCTGGTCACCCTTAGACATAGTAACCAGTGAAAGTAAAACCCCTTCCTACTATCTCACCAGCGCAAAACCATGCAAAGCACTCCAGTCCAAACAAAGCAGCAATACCAGCATCTTCAACTTTCAGTTCTTGCCGGTTCTTCCACAGATTCTTGACATAATCAAGCTCCTTCCAGAATGACTCAGATCGACCAGGGATACTGCAAAAATCCCATCAAAAGGAGTTATTCTGATATCAACTTGTGACCTTGATTTTTCGCCAGTATTACTGCCAACATAGAGTAAACTAATATTTGTTTCTAATGAGACAACATATATCAACAAAGAAATTGCAAATTAATGCAGTAAGAAGATATAAATGAAATTGCAAATTAAGGCAGTGCGAAGATATATATGAAGCATTATCGTTTACTCTTTGTAACAAGCACAATCATAAGCAACCTCAGAAAGCAACCCAGCCACATTGTTTTGTTCTTTTATTCTTCTTCGTGAATATGAAACTAGGAAACTCCCAAACACGAGCCACATACTAAAAGAGAGGAGTAATAAAATGACATTTTCCAGAGAATCCTCCAGAAAATGGTTTTTCGCAGAGGCATGGTGGAAAAATGAATTCTAACCCTATATAGATAGCAATATACTGCCAGAAGATCATCCAAGGTCTTTCAATTTCTACAGCATGACTTTCACTTCCTACACTAAATCCAAGTTGTCCCATTGACAAATGTTCTCTCACTGTGGCCATCCAAAACCTTCCTATTAACATGCCAAACAAAACTCATCTCTAGCAGACTCGAATCCTAATACCATGCTTCATCCACAAATTTTGTAACTCAATCAAAACACGAAACATCTGAATACACTGCAAAACTGTAGAAATTCATGTATAATGCAAGATAAATATGGAAATATGAGAAGATTGAGAACACATTACACTATAAGTGAGTGATTTTGCAGCCAGATATCAACCAAAGTCAATGCACAAGGGGTTACCAACGCCATGCCCCAAGTAACATCTAAAATGCCAACAAATACTATCAATTTGTCCAATTCTACTAACAACCACATATGGTTTCATATCATAAACAAAATTAGCAGATACCAATAAAAACACCATAATCATTAGCTTAACAATAGCAGTTGACATCTTACGGCTACATGGACAATGACGTTACCACTGCATGATTTTGCTTTCACAACTGAAACTACAAAACTTCATTTGTTGCCACCTCTATCAACAACAAAATGATTTCAGTTGGTTTGCACCTAAGAGATACCGCTAGAAATCAACTTGATTGATATTTTGGACTAGTTATAACATATTTCCTTCACTACAGTTTTTAGTAACCATGTCAAAGAGGAAATTTTAATCATCAGTCACTTAGGCTGACACATATCAAATCTTGGTTATATGATTTAATGTAGGTACAATACATAAAAATCATGTTAATATACATTTAGTAGTCAATTTTGATGCAGGCAAATTCAATAACTCACTATCGCAAGCAAAATACATTGTCGCATCATGACAACAGAGAAAAATAAATATCAGATACTAAAAGACACATTGCAATCAACTCATTGGAACTTAGGGTCTTCGTGGCAGTAAAATGATAGGCGCAAATAACGAATACCTAGTAAGGCGAGTGTAAAACAGTTGCTTAGACAACTCGTTGCATTTCTGCACTGTCGGTGGTTCCTGAATGTATTGCTTGTTCTGCTCCAACAACTGCTTGTAGTAAGCAGTTCCGTGCGTGGCCACAAACTTCGATGCTTGACATGCCTTAGATTGCAACTGCTGCAATTTTGACGCCATCAAAATCTCCCCTCAAATCTGCACCATATATAAAACATAAAATAATTTTTTAAAAAATAAAATTTCTTTTTTTCCGAAAAATACCTTGGAAAAACCTAAAATAACAAAAATATGTGGAAATAAAAAGAACATGAGACCAGCTAATTAAAACCCTAAAAATAACATAAAAAGCAATCAATAGTGAAAATAATAGAACTTTGGATAGGGATCGAGCACTAAAATCAATAGATCTGAGGATAAAATGATAAGAGAACACTGAGAGATATTTTCAAATCAATTAAATTGTCAATCTAAACAAAGGAAGTGAATCTTACCTTTGATGAGAGAAAAGCAAAGATGAAAGAAAGCGTTTTATCGATTGAAGGGAAAGACGAGAGGGGGACGGGTATTGGACTGATCTTGGCTACTCTCCCCACCTAGAAAAAAGAGCGAGCTTTTGGGATCAGAAGAATTCGTTCGCTAATGACCCCTTTTGGGGTTTATTTGAGGTTCTGTTTTTAATTTATGTAATTGGAAGGGGTCAGTCTGTAATTTCAACGAATTTATATCAGGTTTTTCTTTTTTTTTTTGGATAATTTAATTGTAAGAATAATTTAAATCAATAACCGAAGCAGGGAAGACGAAGGAAAAAAACAGGATATGGAAAAAAGGTTTACCATTAGATAAGATATTGAGCGCGTAAAATATATAGTTTTTTATTTTTTTTACTTTATTAATTTTTGTATTTATAGTTAACAAATATTTAAAATTTATTTTTATTTTTATGAATATTTAATGAGTATAAATATTTTGTACTCGTAATTTAAAGAAATAAAAATAAAAATTTATTTTTTAGCTTTTTTAAAAGTTTTATATTATATATTTATGTAATTTTTTTATAAATATATTAATATATATTTTAAATAAAAATATTAGTTTTAATTAATTTAAAATAATAATTTAAATTATTTAATAAATAAATTATTTACCAATTATATATAAATATATATAATAAAGGTATGAATAAGAGCAAGTGTTATATTTTTTGTATTCATCTCATATCTTTTAAAATTTTAAAATTATATACATTTTTATCTAATAATATAATATTCATTTTTATTCAGATAAAAATTAAAATTTTAATTAAATATGTGTAAATTTGATATTTTGAATTATGATTTTGTTATTTTTCACTTATAATGTTATATGTTTTATACACTTAAAAGAATTTTTAGAACATCTTTTTCCTTTGCTTCTTTAAAATGGTTTTATCAAAGATAAAATTTTTTATAAAAATAATAAAATTAATATATTTTTACTATTACAATGAAAAAAAATGGCATGATTTTTTTTAATAAAAAAGTCTATGTTCAAAGTAGAAAAAAAATTATAAGTATTCATATCTAAAAATGACTTGACTAAATCATTATTTTTTAAAAAAGTAAAGATAAGATTGGGAATAATATTCACAAAGATTATTTTTGAAAGGCATTAAAACTTAACCTATTATTTTATTAAATAAAATTGTTATTAAACTACTCTTTTGATTGTGCTACTGGCTAATAAAATGTCTTATAAAAAGGCACTGGCTCACAAAATACTGTATTCGAATCTTAAAATTAAATAAAATGCAACAATATTTATTATTATTATTATTTATAAAAAATTTAATAATGAATATAATTTAAATATTAATATTATATTTTAAAAATAATTTATATAAATTAATTAAATTAAATTTTAAATTAAAAATATAAATAAAAATTATAAAAATATTTATTTAAAATTTTTTTTATCCCCGTATGGTCGTCAAGTAAGTTGCTTGCGCCTTTCCTCCGCCGGCCACGTATCATGCATGTAAGTTGAAATTGTAGAAACAATTGAAGGCATGACTTTCTTTGGGTACTTTTGTTGGTCCATATTTTACTCAGAATCCAAGTTATTCAATGTGAATAATTTATTAAGATATTATTATATAAATAAATTTATTATTAAAATATTTCAAATGGGTCAATAAATTTTCTGGCAAAAGGGCAATGGGTCAATAATTTAATAGTTAGATTTTTTCCCCCTTTTTACTAACCATTTATAACTAACATTTCAAATCTCATGCGTATAAAAACAGTATGTTTATATTGTTTATTTTTTTTAATATTCCTTATTTATTTTATTTTTTTAATACAAAAAAGTTGAAATTTTAAAAAATTTTAAATTAAATTTTACTTTTAAAAAATAACTATATTAACTAATTAAATTAAATTTATCTACTACAATACTTAAGATGTGTTCAACTGTAGGATGCATTTAACTATTATCTTGTAATATATTTTATGAGAGAGTCATATTTTATCTTTGAAGGCTAAAAAACTATGAGGATCTGATAATTTAAAAGATAATATGATAATATAATATAAAATGATATAAATAAAAAATATATAAATAAAATTATTAAAAATATTAAAAAATTATAAATATATTTAATAAAATCCAAAAATCATATTTTATATTTTTATATAAATATAAATTATAAATACATAAAATTTTTATAAAATATAATATAAATATAATATTTTAAATAACATGATAATACAAATAGTTAAATTTTTAATAGTTAAGTTGTCATTATATTCCAGCTAATATATTCCCTTACAACTGTGCAAGAAGAAAAGGACAAATTTTTTTTAATAAAAAAAGGACCAATCTTTAAAAAAAGAGACCGATTGGGGCCCAATTCAATGCCCATGTGATCCTGTTGCGTCGTGTCTACGAATGAGTTTTCGAAACAGAAGGCCGCTCAGTTGCTTATAATTGGCGAAACCGACGAGAGAAGAAGCCATTATTTCCATGGCTTCAACATCACCGTCGTCTCTCTCCCCTCCGGAGGTCCCCATGGAGCTCCACATCTCTAACCGTCAAAAGCTCCTCAATTGTCTTCGCCAGCACCTCTCCGAATCCTCTCGCCCCCTACACTGCTTCGTCCTCCTTCAGGTACTTTTAAATCACCCATTTTTCAATATTTTTCTTCCATAAAACGCCTTCGTCGAAGTTAAATTTCTTGGATTAATCGATCGAACAGGGCGGCGAAGAGCAAACACGCTATTGCACTGATCACATCGAGCTCTTTAGGTACCTCGACCAAGCCTTGCTCTTTATAAACTTTCAATTAAATTACAATTCAGTACGGTGCTGTAATTTAAATTTTATTATAATCAATCGTTTGTTTAGGCAGGAGAGTTACTTCGCTTATCTGTTTGGTGTGAGAGAGCCTGGTTTCTATGGTGCTATTGTAAGTTCTTTGCATTAATTTCCATATTATACCCTTTTTCTTTTTCTGAAATTACATTTTTTTAAGTGCTGATTCCTTTTTTAGATAGTAGAGCTTATCGAACTTATAAACTGTTGAATTTGATAAACTTCTCTTCTTTTACTAACTAAAGGACATTGCAACTGGGAAATCGATTCTATTTGCGCCTAGGTTACCTGCTGATTATGCTATTTGGTTGGGGGAAATAAAGCCACTGTCCTACTTTCAGGTAACTATTCTATCATGTTTTCCATTTGTCCTGCTAGCGCGTCCGAATGTTTATGCCTTTTATGTTTACATTCTTGTTGGCAGGAAAGGTATAAGGTTAGCATGGTCTACTATACTGATGAGATTGCTCAAGTCTTGGTTGACCACTACAAGGGGTCTGGAAAACCTTTGTTGTTCCTCTTACATGGGCTTAACACTGATAGCAATAATTTCTCAAAACCCGCCAATTTTGAGGTTCTATATCTCATCCTTTATTCTACTTTCATTTGCGTTTTACTTTTGGAAAAGGGTGATTTTTTTTTCTCAAGTTCTAGTGTACTTTTCTAGTGTTAGAGGTACTGAAGTAGTGCATTATGTTTCACTCGATTTTTACGATGTTATGTAAAAGTGCCATATTTCTGTTTAGTGGCTTATACTGTTATTTATTTATTTATTTTTTATTTCCTTCTCTCTTGTTTTTAGGGAATAGAAAATTTTGAGACAGATTTGACAACTCTGCATCCTGTATTGACTGAGTGCCGTGTTCTTAAGTCAGACTCGGAGCTTGCTCTTATCCAATTTGCCAATGATATAAGTTCTGAAGCTCATGTTGAGGTAATCAATTATATATTTTTCTTGGCATATATAAGCAAATAATTTTCAGATATAATCTGTCATTCTACATGATTTTAGTTCTTCTTTCTTTCTTTTTTTCATCTTTTACTTCATCTGCATTTTTTAATTTCTTGGCAGAATTGTCTCCCAAGTGTATTGTTGATATTGATAATTTAACATATACTTGCTATGTTCTATTTAACTAGGTTATGAGAAAAGCTAAAGCAGGTATGAAAGAATATCAGTTGGAAAGCATGTTTCTTCATCACACCTACATGTATGGTGGCTGTAGGCACTGTTCATACACATGTATTTGTGCTACAGGTGAAAATAGGTGAGGATTATGTGAGGCTCTGATTGTTTCTTGTTCAGTACATGCAATGAGTTAATAACAGCACATTAGTAATGTTTCCTGTGCCCATTTGTTGAGGATTTTCCTTTTAAACTAAACATCGGAGAAATGAAACCTATGATAGCTACAATTGTTATAAAATTCCAGTATAATATATTATTATTATGAAACATTTTGAATGTCAAGAATTGGTACTCAACTTGTCATTGTGTATAATTTTAGAAATGTACTGCACTTGTGAATTGTGATTTTATTCTGTAAAGTTTTACCTGTTGTATGATTAATATTTGAGTATGAATATATTGATATGAGATTCGATCAACATAACGATTCTTATGTTTCTATGGTGCAGTGCTGTTCTACATTATGGACATGCTGCAGCTCCTAATGATAGGGTATAATTTTCGTCCTTTGTCCTTTAGTGCTTGCAATTTATGTTAGTTTAATCTGCACAAGAAAAACATGATCGCATTAGGTTTATGACTTGAGTTCCAATAAGAGTTTCAAATTGATGTATTGGAGTTAATCTGATAAAATGAAAGTAGTTTGTAAGCTTTGAATATTATAATGTCTTTCCTGCAGATCTTAGAAGATGGAGATATGGCCTTGTTTGACATGGGAGCTGAATACAGTTTCTACGGATCTGACATTACATGCTCATTCCCTGTGAGTATGTCTATTTAGTTTGCAATTAATTTCTTTGCTTGTGTGTTGAATGCTGGATATGGGTCCTTTACTTTTCAATTGAAGCATTTACTGCAGCTTCACAAAGAATCTCAATATTCTCCCTTGCTTGAGTCCTTCCTGGATCTTTCAGTTTTATTAATTTTGCCGTAACATTATATATTGACTGATTAATCAAAAAAGAAAAAAGAAATTGAATGGATAGCATTTATCATAAGCATTTGTCCAAAGATGCAAAGCAGAACATGTCCAATTATTGTCTTATGTGGAGTTATCAGTAAGTATCTTTGTGACCTCTGGGGCTGAGTCGCTTAGGGAATGGGCAGTATGTATTTGTTTTAGGGCTGCACATATTATTTAAGTTTCTTACTGCAGTTTTTGCAGCTGACGATTGGGATAATTTAAGTTTTCTACATTGTGTAGAGAATACTGATATATCTTAGGAAAATCAAAATTCTACCATGCTACTGGTATTAGGAGTAAGGGACCTGTTTTTTCTATAGTGTATGATGGTAGACGTTTCCTTCTAAAATACATCTACTGTTTGTGCAGGTGAATGGGAAGTTTACAAGTGATCAAAGCCTTATATATAATGTAAGTTCTCTACTCTGTGATCAATACTTGATGGGAATTATATCAAGTTTCATCCTATGAGAACTCATATTGAGTTGACTGTTAAAAGAAAAAGAAAAAACAACCCTTTTAAATGTTCCACAGGCTGTCCTTGATGCTCACAATGCTGTTATAACCACAATGAAACCTGGTGTAAGCTGGGTAGATATGCACAAGTAAGGCCAAAGAGCTCGTAAAATAATTTCCTTATAATATTTTTCTTTTATCTTCAATTTGTATTTACTTGTTTCCTTTCTATCTATTGCAGATTAGCTGAGAAAATCATTCTGGAGTCACTGAAAAAGGGAAACCTCCTTGTTGGGTAAATTCTATTTTCTTGATGAGCTTGTTTCTTCCATTCCCTTCTAGATACTACTATTAGAAGTAAATAATATAAGTACCTCGATTCATTTTTTTTACTGTAGAAATGTTGATGATATGATGGTTGAACGAGTTGGTGCTATCTTTATGCCTCATGGTCTGGGCCATTTATTGGGTATTGATACTCACGATCCTGGAGGTTATCCAAAGGTCCTTGTGAGATTAACTTATCTGCTTATGGATTTAATCTCTATGCTAGTCTTCCTTTTCTTCTCATTTTGTTAGTAGCAACTTATCTGCTTATGGATTTGATCTCTATACTAGTCTTCCTTTTCTTCTTATTTTGTTAGTAGCTACAGCTTTCATTTCCCTTACGTTTGGAAGGATTGGAAAATCTTACAGGGAGTAGAAAGACCAAAAGAACCTGGTTTGAAGTCTTTGCGTACTGCTAGACAACTGCAGGAGGGAATGGTAAGTTATAGTTTTTGCCTTTTTCTTGTCAAAGGAGTTTACTATGATCAGCTCAGTATTATATATTTATTATTTCTGTGTAAACTGGTTAAACATTATATGTCTTTTTGATACTTTTTTAGTTGAATGATATCACAATGTTGCATGACTAATTTTAAATTAAAACATTTGTTTCTTTCTTACGAAAGCATTGCTCAAGTTTGAATTTGAAAAATAATTTTGTATGGTATATATGAATTAAATTGCTGCATAACCTTTTGTTGGAATTAATGGCTGCCACTGACATCACTCTCTATTAAAATTTTAGACCTTGAATTTATTTCCAAGGTTTCAATATCAACTGTTCCAATTGATTATTGGTTCTCAGGTCATAATTAATCTCAGTCAACCATTAGACCTCTAATTTGCTTTGTTAGAACATAAGTCATGGCATAATGACTATTTTTCTATCAAATCCCTGAGGTAACTCCTCTTTAATGTTCAATTAGTTGCTTTTAGTTTATATCTATGACATCATGGTAGTGCATGAAGTAGTTAAATTTTTTGAAAAAAATTCGCATTATATCTATTAGTTTGACGGTTTTTCTTAGAAGTGATATTTTGTTATTTAACATAAAATGTTCTGCACATGGAATTTAATCACTGCTTCAAACATGGAGAACACATGCCGATCCTTCATCATCTTCTTGTAGGTGATAACAGTGGAGCCTGGATGCTATTTCATTGATGCATTGTTGGTTCCGGCTATGGAAAATGCAAAAACTTCAAAGTTCTTCAACCGTGAAGTAGTGGATGGATTTAAAAATTTTGGTGGAGTTCGAATAGAAAGTGATGTGGTATTGTATTTACTTAATCTTACAATCATTCAAGTCCAAAATTTCCTGCCTCATTTAAATTTACATGTATAAGTAGTTTGTCAATGTTTCAATTATAGTTTAATATACATCATCTCTCTCCCGTATTAACATTTAAATGCATCTAGAAATAGGTAGTAGATTTCCATATGCTGTTAATAAACTTAATCAAAATTCATGGCACCAAACTGAGATTTTGGCTGAAGGAAGTTTTGATTGAGAATCTTCCAAGTGTGTTCTAACAATTCCGTTTATGAATTTGATTGTCCGACTTTAAGTAGCTAGGAGTATGGATAATCTCCTGTAGAATCTGTGGCATTTGTGGGTATTGGCTCGAGGCCTGTATAAAAGCCATGGATGTTTTGCAGCTTGCTCGTTTGGGATGAATCTAGTTATAGAACTTCCATGTTTGTGCCACATCTGTTGTAATAATACAGTTAGAGTTGAGTTTGTGCTTTTGCTCTGTTGGTGTTCCCACTTAATCACACTGTTCCTTTCTTCTTGTAGCTTGTAACGGCCAATGGGAGCAAGAACATGACAAAGGTACCTCGGAAGACATGGGAGATTGAAGCTGTCATGGCAGGTGGACCATGGCCATTCAGTTAATGAGAAAATGTTTGGGGAAGCCAAGTACATATAACAAATAAATAATCGTTAGTATCCCTGAAAATGTGGGAAGAGAGATATCTCTGTATCAGCTATTCGACTTATGTTATTATCTAAACCATTCCTGTATAATGAAGTTCTTGTTTGGATTATGGGTTTAGACCTTATTATTATTAATATTATTAGATAGCATTCTGATATTATTTTTCTAGTGTGTTTAAGATATTTGGTAATATAAGGTGCTTTAAACATTGACTTTAGAATAAACAGAGAATGACTTGTTTTCCTTTTCTTTGCTACTCTTGTAGATGATGAAGGCAAAATCTATTTTATTATTATTTATATTTCATCTTAAAATGTCAGCTCCCCCTTGCTTAGCATTGTCATTAATATCCATAGACACTAAACACCAAAAAAAACTTTTTATAACATTAATATGAAATAAAAAGTTAGATAACAAAGATTGCATTATTATTTCCCATTTATGATACTTATCTTATTCAAATCAAAATGTAGAACAAATTGACGAAACAACATTAAAATAAATAATTAGAAGAGAACATACTATAATATGTGTTGAATAATGTTTTAAAAAGACAAATAGTTGTCTATGTGTTTCAAATTTTTAGACATGATCAGAAGGTGTAATTTACTAATTACATAAACATGACAAAAAAGAAGAAGAAAGAAATAAAGAAAGGGATTGAAAGAAATAGGATAGCTCCACGGTGTTGTATTTTTAGCGCCTTGTTTACCGTCATTTCTACCTTAGTTCATATGTCGTATTTGGGGTTGTCAAGTTTTGTTTAGCACAAGCCTTTACACTTTTAATTATTAATGAGCTTGAATAGAGTTGTTGAATATGAAAAATCAATTAAATCAATTCTTTGAATCTGATTTAATCTGAGTTGATCGGAAAAAATTATAATTCAAACACGATTATAATTTAAATTTAAATTAATTCAAATATTGTGCAATTTGAACTCAAATTGATTTAAATTAAAAATAATCCAAACTCAACTTAAAAGATTTATTTAACAAAAACATATTTAAATTTAGAGTAATTATATTTTTTTAAAATATTTATTTAACAAAAATAATAAATATAACACAAAGCTTTGAAAATGTAGTTATGAGTATTCTCTTAATTATGAATTTATAAGTAAAAAAATTAAAAGAATTTTTTCTATTATTATAATTACAATAAATTTATGCAATTATACATTTTTAATTTTTGTCTCTTTTACAATTATACTTCACAAATAATTTTTTTTTAGATTATCAAAAATCCAAGTTAAAGATATGCTATAAATTGAAAATATAACTTTAAATAACTTAAATAAAAATTTGATTTTATTCTATTAATACGTTCGAGATCCAATTTAATTTGATTTTAAATAATAATTTGAATTTGTGATGATATGAATTTAGATAATTAAAATCAAATAATTTAAATAGTAAATTCAAATGTTCGACAATCAAGTTACTCCCTCCGAAGTATCTCAAACTTCAAAATAATCTAAATTTAAACTGATTAAAATAAATCCAAATCAATAATTTTGAATCAATAAAAGAAAAACATTAGGAGCGATGCAAATTCCTTAAAATATATTTAAGTTGGATTATTTAATGAAACCAAAATATTACGAGGGCTTTTTTAACGTAACACTTAAATTGAAGTATTCTATTTTTATAATTAATTAATAAATCATAATTTAATTTAATTTAAAATTTTAAAAATTTAAGATTTTTTTATTATTAAATTCAGATCTCATTAATATTATAAACGTCGGTTAAAAAAATAAAAACCTATAACCCTATAAAAAATCAATTAATTAATTTATAAACAAATATTATTAAGGAGTACTTCCATTTGATTTTGTTTGCTTTAATTGATTTAGTAAAATTAAAAAATTAATTGATTTTTATCAAACAAGAAATAAGTGGTAACAAAATTTTTAATATTTAGTAAATAAATTGAAGAAAATATTTTTTAAGAAATTTTTTTTTATAATTCTTGAAATTTACAAAAGTTTAAATTTTTTTAGATGAACAATATCATTTATAATATATTATGTATAAATTATTATTTACTTGTAATTTAATATTTATAAATATATGATTATATATTAAATAAATAATTAAAAAATAAATTTAAAATTATAAAAAATTTAATAAAAAATTAAGTACATTGTACGAGTTAAAAAACTAGTTTATAAATAAATATTATTACTTTAGTAGTACTGGAGGGTACTTCCATTTGATTTTGTTTGTTTAATTGATTTAATAAAATTAAAAAAATTAATTTTAGATGTATCTTATACTATAATTTTATTTTAAATGTTAAAATATAAAATAAGATAATTAGATATTTAAAAAAGTACATAATTTTGAGACTTTAGAAACTACAATTTTGATTGTGTTGTGTCGTACATTTTTCGATAAGATTTTATTAGCCCTATTAAAAGTCACAGCCCCCTAAGTCTTAAATTAAAAAACCCTAGAACTACCCTTTCCTTATTTCGTTTTCCATTTTTGTTTTTTTTTTGAGATCTGATCTCTGCCTCTTTCTCTCTCGTATTTGCGCTTGGATATGGCTTCGACAGAGCCTCTTCTTCTGCACCGTCCGTTAAGGAAGACAACCACCACATGAGAAGCAACAGAATTAGAAAGTAATAATAATAAAGATCGAGATGTAAACGTTTTTGGTTTTGACGATGAGACGTTGTGGAGGATGTTGGATTATTACGAAGACGATGATGGTGACGCTGACGATCAGTGGATGAGGATTACTCCGATGGTGAACGTGAGATTACTGACGAAGAGATTCGGCGATATAAGGCTGCTTTTGGAAATCAGCGATGTAAGCCTGCATACCTGCGTTTTCTCTCTTGATTTTTGCTTTTTTTTTTTAACTATTTTCCCTTTTCTTCATTTTAGGGTTTTGATGTCCATCATTTCCTGGCGTTTCTTGTTGCGGTCTTATTACGCCCGTTGTTTTGAGTGGCCTATTCTCTTGAAACCCTCAAGCCTCTGTGTTGCTGCCATGGATTACTATAATAATGAAAAGGTTAGCTTGTTTTTTTTTTTTATCTCTATTTTTTTCCCTCTGCATCATCATCATCATCAATGGCCTTTTAAAGAAACAAAACAAAAAAATTACGTTATGTTTCTTTCAGAAAACAAACTATAAGTTTCTGGAGTTGAAAAAAGCAAATGTAAAAGGTTGCTGTGGTCTTCTTTACTATTTAACCTTTGTGGGAAGGATTCCTGAAGTTAACACTACTCAGATCTTCGAAGCACGCGTTTTGTGGGGATTCCTAAAAACGTAGGAGATGACCCGACGGAGGTTTATTCTTGTAGGGAAAAGAGTCAACAGACTCCTCCTGCCACAACAGGTACATCAAATTTTCACTCTTTTTCCATACTTATATTTTGGTTTTATGGAATTGATCTTGTCTTGTCTCTGGTATCAATGTCTTCTTTTTTCATTGGGATAGATTACAAACTTGAGTTCTGTGGTATGTTTTATTTGATGGTTAAATTTTCATTATTTTGAGAACAGCTATTTGATTATGGAGGATGAACAAAATTATGGAGGATGGGTCCTTGTTCATTGTTCTTAAACTCTGATAGGAAGAATATCTTGGAATTAAATGACACGGTGTTTCCTTTCAAATTCTTTTTCAATTTGTCATTGATTTTGGTCAAATTTATCTTGGTGATATTTGTGACATTGTTTGACTATTAGTATGAAAGGACGCATAATGTATTTGTTTGTTGGGTTATGCGTGCATGAGGTTTGGGATGTCTCGAGCAAGCACAAGCGTACGCTTTGCTAACCATTTTAGCTAGGGGTTTTTATACAGTAGAATTTATGGCCAAGAAAAACAATGGTGAAATAAATGGAAGGATTGGGAGTTATGGGTACTCTTTGGTGGTACAACGGAGAAAATCTCATGTTTAGTTTTAGAAATTCTAATTCATGTGCTTGTGTTTTAATTAGCCCATGATTTTACTTAAGGTGCTACCATTTGTTCATATACATTTAATGTTGATTTTACTGTTTGTGTACTTGTGTTTTTGTAGATGTTTGAAGATTTTATGGAGGCAATTCAGCTATGAGTAAGAAGATCAGCAGGAAGTTGAGCATGTTATCTTGTTCATATACATTTAATATTGATTTTACTGTTCTGTACTTGTTTTTTTGTTGATGTTTGAAGATTTTATGGAGGCAATTCAGCTGTTGGGTAAGAAGATCAGCAGGAAGTTGAGCATGTTATCTTGAATTGAAGTATTGTTATCTGTTAATTCTTCTTGGTTTATAATCGGAACCTTTTTCTAGAATATTCCTGAATTGAACCAAAAAAGGATTTGTTTGTTGGACTCTTAATAAGAGCAAGATTTTTAGCCATTAAGGTTGATGAATTTGTTTCCCTTCTGGAATGTTACCATTAGTAATGCGTAGAAGGACGTAAATTTATGCTAAACTTTTTTACTACTACTACTACTAATGCAAATTTGGTCGAACTTAGTTTTCCTTTTTTATTTTTCTTTCTTTCTACTCGCAAATCTTTCTTTTTTACAACGCTTTGTCTTGGGGAATCTCTTGCCATTAATGAGTTGTAACTTCTTAGGCAAGCAATCTCACAACTTTTAGAGCAGCTGTACTGTAATTGGCGCCTCTTCATCAAATTGATTCCTGCAAAAGCTTTTACTTTTCACATCAAGTAATAAAGTGCTCCAAGCGAAATAAAGTGTGCATGAAAGAACCATTTTGAACGCATTTATGAAAGGAAAACGTAATCTTTAAAATTATACATCACTAACTTTAAAAACAAGATGATTGAATCAATTTGCTTTTTGTAGGTTATTTTTGAAGCATAATTTTGTATTATTTATTTTAAATTAATTTGGCTTGATATAAATTTTTTTTTTTGATTTGGGGATTAAAAGCAATTTATTTGAATTTTTTGAAAAAAAATTAAAACATAAAAAAAATGGGATGAAAATCAATGAAAGAACAAAAAGAATGGGCAAAAATAATTTAACAGGCAAAAAAGCAAATTTGTTTTAAGGGCCACCGAAATCAAAAACTTGTCCTTTAATTACTTGGACGGCGGCAGGCAGGGAACTGACTGCTTGAAGCGCTCTTGCTCTCTGTTTTGCATTTTTTACCTATAGGCTATGGGCATTATGGTGT